GTACACATCTAGAGAGGGTCTTGTCAATCATGTACACATCTAGAGAGGGCACAGTGAAACATGTACACATCTAGAGAGGGCACAGGGAAACATGTACACACATAGAGAGGGTCCTATCAAACATGTACACATCTAGAGAGGGGCACAGGGAAACATGTACACATCTAGAGAGGGTCTTGTCAAACATGTACACATCTAGAGAGGGCACAGTGAAACATGTACACATCTAGAGAGGGCACAGTGAAACATGTACACATCTAGAGAGGGTCTTGTCAAACATGTACACATCTAGAGAGGGCACAGTGAAACATGTACACATCTAGAGAGGAGGGCATGTCAAATATGTACACATCTAGAGAAGAGGGCATGTGAAACATGTACACATCTAGAGGGGGGGGCACAGTGAAACATGTACACACAGAAAGGGTCCTGTCAAACATGTACACAATCAAGCTCTTGTACCCATCATCGTTAGAAGTGGGACACACCTTCAAGCTTTATTTAAATGTGGTGTGTACTACACGTTTCTCGTGGTCGTGTTTGTTATGATGTCAACCAAATCTTTGACCGAGTGTTCGACTGGTATGACAACTCGGATAGTTTGATGTGCCGACAACAACCTTCCCCCACATCAATCATGCAGAACCTCGAATTTAAACACTCCACTCCACCCTTCACCTCCAGTTCTCCTGGCCACGCCCCCCCCCCCGTCGTAATAACCCCCCTCTGTGACACGCTATACTTTAAACATAAACATAGCGCTTCAGTGGCTTATATAGGAGATATTTCATACGTTTTTTCAGCGGTCGTGTAAACACATACACCCACATACGTTCTGTGAAGCTTATGTGTAGAATATATCACCAGCCGTATACCCACATACATTCTGTGGAGCTTATGTGTAGAAAATACTACCACTCATACACAAACATACATTTTGTATGCTTATATACAGAATATATCACCAGCCGTATACCCACATACATTCTTTACTGTAAATATATCCAAAATAACTCCAGCTAGACTAACCGGCGGTTATAATGTGTGACTTCGCACTTTATATCTACATTTAATTTATAAATTACTTTATATCTACATTTAATTTATAAATTACTTTATATCTACATTTAATTTATAAATTACTTTAGTTTATAAATTCAAGTTTCATAAATATAATCGAAATAAATAGCTGCAGCAGTTCATGTGAAACGAATGGAAGCCGTTGAGTTGACAAACCAACACACTATCGACATACAGCCATAGAATCTAGACATGCAACACGTCAAGCAGATTGAAGTATGTCGTAATCGCTGCATCTGGACATGCGACTTGTCTCCCCCCCCCCCACCTCCCCACCCGTGCTTAAGCTGTCCCACTTTTATCTGATCTTTCCTAGCAGACGTCATCGTATGCTCCATCCCTATACACTACACTCTTAATTTAGAACAAATCTAGTTGTATGTCCTACTTAATGTAGAACAAACCTACTTAAAGTCACAAACATACGGCTGCATGTGCAGTTCAATAATTAATTATTGACTGAATCTAAAATGTTTAGGCTGAACGTGTTGTACAGCTTACAACTTTTTAGGGTTTAACATCGTAGATTTGTGCTGGTATCAGTTTAGTTGTCTACTACATGTGTTAGCACGGCGCGTTTACTTCATAATGTTTACTACTCGGAACTTAATAGTTGGCTAGTAGCAAATTTACTACTCGGAACTTAGTAGTTGGCTAGTAGCATATTCACTTCTCGGAACTTAGTAATTGGCTAGTAGCACATTCACTACTCGGAACTTAGTACTTGGCTAGTAGCACATTCACTACTCGGAACCAAGTAATTTCACCATTTTTTTTCCCTTTTCACTCCCAAGACACCTGGGACAAATGAAGTAGCGTTCATATGTTCCAATGACCCAGTAGTTTGCATATGCCCTACCCTGAGTCCAGTAGTTACAAACACCTCAGATCTATGGTTGTTGTGATCGCCTGTTTGAGGAAATAGAAATATATCTAGTGAATAGAGAAATGTCTAGACAGCACTATATAATCATAATAGATGTCCTTTGAACCGCAATCGTTAAGTGCTGTCACTAATCTAACTCTCTTTTTGAAGACCGATACCACTACTGCTTATATGATAACAGCTGTTTAAAACTGTCCAATAGTCTCTCCCTTACACGGACAGGCTGTAATCTATCGATATCTAACACATCTACTGACAAGATTTTAATTAAACAAAATGGAGTCTAGAACTAGTTAGATTGGAAATTTGTTGATACCCCGCCAATTTTGCTACCAGCGTAATGCCAAGTCGTCGAAGATTCTTTTCGTTTGGTGGATTCGATCAGGCAAGATAATTGATACATTCGAATACTTTTATAACAGATGTTATACTTCTATAACACGTGACCTTATTACACGACTAAATGCACTTATGTTAACCATATCTTCACTACACGCCCGTATGTTAAAACACCTATTTTCATTACAGCTGCTTAACTATGGTAATCGCCAGTGGCTAATTTAACTAATTAGATGACTAATGAATTTTAGTCCGCTGTTTTGTTTTCGTACAAACACGCGATTGATTACGCGGTAACTTAATTAACTACTTATCAAAGAGCGCACTGTTTTGATTATCATTAACTTTAAAAAGCATCTGATGGGTCCGGTGTGTTGATGTGATCTGCTAAATCGCGTGATTTTTACTTTATTAAAACGAAAGTGAAAGTAGATAAGCCTTTGTTTTATTTACTTTCTGATAGTCGAGATTCCACGAGAAATATTCCCTACAACGCTGACAGTAATTTGATTCACGTTTGTCGGTGGATCACTTCATCTACCAGTATAGAATAGATAACGGCATTTCCTAGTTCGTTCTAAATAAAATAACTTAGTTTTATCCCCGCTGTTCCTTCTCATTCCCGATAAACAGTGATTATTTACACCGCGAATTTTTACACCATCATTTATGTGATTCACTGGGAAATACCATTTCGTTAAATGATAAAATCTTGCGCCAATTTATGTCTCCAGGTCCGCTAACTCTTGCAGGTGTAAGCGCTTTAATCAACAGGAACTCGACTTATCTCCCCTTAAACTTCTCTTTGCCTCTTTTTATTTTTTTATCCAAGTTCTCGTTTAATTTACCTATTTCAAAGACCACGTTTTATTTCATGTGCACATATTTAATTCAGAAGTAATTTTCATGAGTCAGGGGAAGGGTGGATGGTGATGACGGGGGTGTAGTGGCGTGTCTGAACGATGGGTTTAAGGAGTGGGAAGCCATCTTTAGGTAGCGTCATCCCATCTGTGTTTGTTGGCCTGGGGATTATCCTTAACCAGAGCGGCTGTTAGTTGACGCTACTTGTATGCAGACACACACAAAAATCGCTAGTTGTGTGTCGTTTCACACGTTATCACACATCACACAGTTTAACACGATGTCACACATCACACAGCTCCACATAATTATCACACAGCTAGCTGAAAATTGTGAGAGAGTTTAAACATGGCTGGCTGTTTGAAATGGGTAAAATGTAAAGATAAGGTAAAGGTTAATGTGTAAGCGTCGGGTTTAATACATGCTTCGTTACAGACTAGATCGTCATCACGTGTAAGACACATTGTAATATCACGTGTAAGACCCATATTGTTATCACATGTAAGACCCACATTATCACGTGTAAGACCCATATTATCACGTGTAAGACCCACATTATCACGTGTAAGACCCATATTATCACGTGTAAGACCCATATTATCACGTGTAAGACCCACAGTATCACGTGTAAGACCCACATTATCACGTGCATTTCCCCCTGTCAATTACCCCCCCCCGGATATTCCCCCCCCCCCCGACATTACCCCCCAGAGTAATTACCCTCCAGAGTAATTACCCCCCCCCCCTGTCAATTACCCCCCCCCCCCCCCGCCCAGTAGGACATTACCCCCCCCCCCCCCCCCCCCCCCCCGGACAGGGTTAGAGTTAGGGTTAGGATTAGGGCTAGGGTTATGGTTAGGTTTTAGGGCTAGGGTTAAGGCTAGGGGTAGGATTAGGGTTAGGGCTAGGGTTAGGGTTGTGTCTAGCTTTGGTTTTGGTTTTGTGTGAAGTTGGATGCTTAGGTTTTGGTCTTTTTCTTAAGGTTTGGATTAAAGTAGTATATAGGTATAAAATTCTAGTTAGAGTTAGGATTTTAACTTGAGAGGGGGGGGGGTAATTGACAGGAGATAATTGCTCGGGGTAAATACGGGGGGGGGGGGGAATGTCCGGGGGGAAATATCCAGACCCATATTATCACGTGTAAGACCCATATTATCACGTGTAAGACCCACATTATCACATGTAAGACCCACATTATCACGTGTAAGACCCATATTATCACGTGTAAGACCCATATTATCACGTGTAAGACCCATATTATCACGTGTAAGACCCATATTATCACGTGTAAGAACCACATTATCACGTGTAAGACCCACATTATCACATGTAAGACCCATATTATCACATGTAAGACCCATATTATCACGTGTAAGACCCATATTATCACGTGTAAGAACCACATTATCACGTGTAAGACCCACATTATCACGTGGAAGACCCATATTATCACCACTTGAAAGATCCCTGTTGCCAATACACATAAAACTCATGTAATGGTCCACCTCATATTCTAAAAATATCTAATTTTGATGAATCTAAAAAAAAAATGTTTGATGTAGTCATCAAATAAACCTCAACAGCTTAGAATCTTTTGATCTACTAATAGCTAGTGTTTATTTCGGCCTTTGCTTTATCCCAAAAACATGTAATATGTTCCAAATATTTATATTCCTATTTACTATATTTATTCTTGAGAAAAAAATAATCTCAACATGTTCTAACTTGAAATAAGGTTTTTTGTTCTTGTGTGCTTTACTTAGTGCGTTTGATGTGTTGTGACAGCCACTTCCTCCATCGCCAAACCTCTATCAGTTTTGTTTTCTTGTTCCAGATTCTTGCAGGTATATCAGAGATTGAGGAAGTCCATGGCTCACAAGATGGCGCTACTGTCCAGGAGAACAGCCTTGACCCAGCTCACCTGCAACCAGCAGACTCCTGTCACGAGAGAGTCCGGGCCTCAAGGTCACCAGTTCGTCCCCACAAGCAGAGGAAGTCAGCCAGGAGAAGCTTAAGCCTCCCCTCTGGTGGGCTGTCTTACGGGGATGTGAAAATACTTTACAAGGACGGACATTTTGTCACGGTTGGAGGGGCCACAACAGAACATCAGAGAACTGATGATGATGAGGATAAGGTCTCTGAATCACCTCCTAAGAGGAATTTATCCTCCTCTTTAAAGGAGGTGAATGAAGAGGTGTGCGACCAGGACGGGAATATGAGAGCTGAGATCTTGTCTCTGCTGGAGCAAGGCATCACAGACCCCCAGCAGGCCAGCCATTGGGAGGACATCCAGCCCAAACCTGGCGCACCCATCTTCCTCTCTCTCCCCCGCAGGAGACAAAAAGGCCCACGGCCCGTATCTGTTGATGAGGTGCGTCTGATGAAATTTTATAGCAAATCCCAGCAGTCCCTGGTCAGCCATGCTGAGATGGAGAGAAGGAAGAAAGAAGGAGATGGGATGCAAGTGAAAGAAGGCTCTTCACTGAAGAGGAACAAAAGTTTCACAGAGGCCATGGGTTCAAATCTAATGCTGAACAACACTGGCAGCGTCAGTGACGTCAGGGACACTGAGCTCTGTGACAGTGGCATTGACGACTCCCATCAAAGACTTTTCAGGGATGAATCTCAACACAGCCTGAAAGCCAGGTCTAAAGGTCCTGGGTTCATCCAGCGTATGCTGAAGAAGCGTAAAGGCTCCAGCTCTGAGAAACTAGCACAGCTCTCATCTAATCCATCAAAAGAAGATTTATCATCGTCATCCTTATCACTAGCGTCCTCTTGCAATCAGCCAGCCTCCACGTCCCCAAACAAAAGAGACTCGTCCCTACCTCGGAAAATGTCTTTCCGTGGAATTTTCAAAAGGAAAAACTCATCAGACTTGTCTGTGAAGAAATCTCCCACTCCAGATGACAACGTGGCGCCATTCTGTGAAGACTCCATCCCTCACTCCTCCCAGCGCAGGCTGCTGAGGATAGGTGAGGCGGACTTACTCCATGATGAGGCAGTGACCAACGACGAATGCGACTCCCTCTCTCCCACATCGTCTAGGTCAAGGTCACCGCGGACACCTCTGTCCAACTCGAGCTCTCAAAGCTCGCTGTACCACAACCAGAATCACGAGGACTCTGACAGAACCCCCACGGCAGACTACGGTCATGTGATACACAGGAGGTCACGCAGCTCGTCAGGCAGGTCCAGGCACCACAACGCCCGGCTGTCTGGTGACTCCTTCTCCGAGTACGACATGGAGTTCCAGAACTCTGAAGACACCCTGACGCCCAGGTCTATCTCCCCTGGCAGTGCTGATGTCTCCGCAGAAGGGGAAAGAACTCTTGTCCCCAGCCCCGCCTCACCCAATGACAGGTTGTCTCCCCCCATCTACCAGACACTTTCATCAAGTCCCCAACTGGCCAGGCGCCGGAGGTCAAAAGATGGGGTCAACGGCCACACCACAGTGGACAGAGGGGAGATCACCTCCAGTAACAGCAATGATTCCGGAATACAGAATGATGTCATTGTGACCTCCAGTGCTGAGTCTATACAGGTAATACATTGATTAAGTGCTGTCTATACAGGTAATACAGAATGATGTCATTGTGACCTCCAGTGCTGAGTCTATACAGGTAATACATTGATTAAGTGCTGTCTATACAGGTAATACAGAATGATGTCATTGTGACCTCCAGTGCTGAGTCTATACAGGTAATACATTGATTAAGTGCTGTCTATACAGGTAATACATTTAGTGCTGTCTATACAGGTAATACATTGTCTTAGTGCTGAGTCTATACAGGTAATACATTGTCTTAGTGCTGTCTATACAGGTAATACATTGTCTTAGTGCTGTCTATACAGGTAATACATTGTCTTAGTGCTGTCTATACAGGTAATACATTGTCTTAGTACTATCTGTAAAAGGTAATTCTTAGTGCTGTCTATACAGGTCTTCTATTCTGTACAGGAATCCTATTACTTATTTATTCAGCTACAATGCCTACAACTTATATTGACTTATCATCACTTACACCTAAGGATTGTAATTATTTGTGACTCTCCTTATTGCTAGGTTTTAATGATTGTTTATTAATAGTTTATAATTTCTGTCTAATGTTCTAATTGTGTGATATCAAAATGTATTCTGTGTATATTTTATACAATTATATTTAGCGTGTTACAAAAAAACTTAGATTGTCTGGTTAATTGAACATCATGTTTTCCAAAACTTACTCCGTGAACTAAAATATGTAAATGAGTTATCCCCCATCATGGGGAAAAAATCATTTTAATATCTTTTTAAATCTAGCTTGTATTATGTGAAACTTATCAAAAATTTTAGTTTAAAGTAAGCAAACATGGTAACTCATGGGCTTTAAAAGTTTTGGAAAAATTGTGACATTTAAAACTGCAGAAAAAGTTGGCTTATAGTTAACAAGGTCATGCAAATAAGTAAATTGTTCAGGAAGTGAGATTAAGATAATTATTACAACAATAATTCTTACCCTAAGCTCTATTGTTACCTTCATAATCCACTCTGAAAAATAACTCCAGACTACACTTAAAACTCATCAATTAGTTTTATCAATCTGGGACCACAACAACACCACTATATATTTCAGGCCACCGTGAAACTGAGAAAGTCCAAGTCCCCCTCACCTGTAGTGGAGCGTCCCAAGTCTGACATCACGGTCAGGTGGGCAGACCTGCTGGAGCAGGTGATGGACACCACGTCTGTCAAGTTCCGCAAGGATGCCATCCGGTTACACAAGCGGCCTCGGCCTAAATCAGACATAGGTACGTAACATCTGCACAAATGACATGAATATGTCACATTTTCCCAAATGTCAGGGCTATGTCACATAAGTCCAGCTCCCTTTTTTCTGTAGTTACCCAAGTAGCTGTAGACATGTCATTTGTTTGATAAGCACTGTATAAAACATGTCATTCATTTATTGAGCACTGTATTCAATGTCATTTGTACAATGAACACTGCTAGCGTAAATTGTTATAAAAAAAATTGGTTTACTATTTGTTGATTTGTAGCCATTTCCACCATCCATGAAATTTTTAGATTTTGAAGTACTTGGATTTAGAATTTGGTCTATACAAAATATTTTTTAATTGTATTTTTATGTAGTATATTTTGTAGATAATATTTCAAGTCTGTTAAAAATACACATATCATTTTTTTTTCCATGGTTATGATACTACAAGTTCTGACAAAAATAGGCACATATACATAAACACACACATGTAAATACACACAAATATACATAAACACCACAAACAAACACACATCATAAACATACACATATATACATTAAACACACTACATACACACACCACAAACATACACACAACATAAACATACACTACATACACACACTGCAAACATACACACACCATAAACATACACCCACCACTCTAGCCCACTTAGCACCATAACATATACACTATTCTAACACACATAGAGTGTGCAACCTAAAATTCTTCCACTGATTTAAGTTAGAATAGCATAAACAATGTGAGATTAGATGCCTCTGTGCTAAGTTTATACCTATCATTTTTTTGTGTTCACATTTTTAAAAACCAGTTGTTTATTTCAACTAAATACCAGCCTTTATTATCAATGAAAATGTTGGTTACAAAACTGAACTGAACAATCAGTAGAGAAATATTTGGTTAAAATTCACACTGATGAACCTTGCTGGATTTATCCCCCTTTGACAGATGAGAGTATGGAAGATGAGGGTCTAGATAATGAAGGCAGTGAAGATGATGATGATATTGAAGAAGAAAACAATGAAGGTAGAATCTTGTTCCTGCTGGATAGAATTTAAAAACTTTCTGAAACTTTTAACAAGGCATCTTGTACTGCATGGGAGGAGATTTGTTTCATGGCTTTTCATTAACCATCTTTTTTCATCTGTTTAACTGGGAATGTTTTTCTGTGAGTGGTCAGCATGCTCCCCCTACTGTGTGGTGTCTAGTTGTTGCCTGAAACTTTACTGGTTGCTGGTTAATCTCTAACATGAAGTTAGCACATCTTAAACTGTGGATGTGTTTACACATCTTAAACTGTGGATGTGTTTACACATCTTAAACTGTGGATGTGTTTACACATCTTAAACTGTGGATGTGTTTACACATCTTAAACTGTGGATGTGTTTACACATCTTAAACTGTGGATGTGTTTACACATCTTAAACTGTGGATGTGTTTACACATCTTAAACTGTGGATGTGTTTACACATCTTAAACTGTGGATGTGTTTACACATCTTAAACTGTGGATGTGTTTACACATCTTAAACTGTGGATGTGTTTACACATCTTAAACTGTGGATGTGTTTACACATCTTAAACTATGGATGTGTTTACACATCTTAAACTGTGGATGTGTTTACACATCTTAAACTGTGGATGTGTTTACACATCTTAAACTGTGGATGTGTTTACACATCTTAAACTGTGGATGTGTTTACACATCTTAAACTGTGGATGTGTTAACACATCTTAAACTGTGGATGTGTTTACACATCTTAAACTGTGGATGTGTTAACACATCTTAAACTGTGGATATGTTTACACATCTTAAACTGTGGATGTGTTTACACATCTTAAACTGTGGATGTGTTAACACATCTTAAACTGTGGATATGTTTACACATCTTAAACTGTGGATGTGTTTACACATCTTAAACTGTGGATGTGTTTACACATCTTAAACTGTGGATGTGTTTACACATCTTAAACTGTAGATGTGTTAACACATCTTAAACTGCGGATGTGTTCAATGGTGCTCTTGATGTTTTAAAATGTAATAACTGTAAGGCTTTTGTTGTTGTTATAGTACTAAATACATATGTAATCAGCTTACAACAACTTTTAAAATGTTGTGAATGTGTTGTTGATGTATGTTATTGATGACATGTAACATTGAGTGTTGTAATGAAGATTTCTGTGATCTTGTGTAACCTCAGTGTTTAATGTCCAACTATCAGTAGCCTTGGTCACTTGGCTTCCAATTTCCCACACTTCTATGAATACAACACATTCCAATACCCCTCACATGTCCAACTATCAGTAGCCTTGGTCACTTGGCTCCCAATTTCCCACACTCCAATTCTTCATACTTCTATTCCACACACTCCTATTACCCACACTTCTACCAATATCACACACTCCGATTCCCCACATTTTAATGCCCCTCACGTGTGTAAAGCCTCTCCTTCCCTACCCCCCCCCCCCCCTAACCATTCCGCTCCTAGTCTGATTAGCTCATTAGTGCTCACCAGAATAACGCTAATGTCTATAAATAGCTGACGGTGGTTTTTCTCGGTACGTCTTGCACACAACTGGCAGTCTAGCCGGCAAATGTCACATCAGATAAGGGGGCTGGGTGGTGACATTTGGAGCCCATGTCACATTAGATAAGGGGGCTGGGTGCTGACATTTGTAGCCCATGTCACATCAGATAAGGGGCTGGGTGGTGACATTTGTAGCCCATGTCACATCTGATAAGGGGGCTGGGTGCTGACATTTGTAGCCCATGTCACATCTGATAAGGGGGCTGGGTGGTGACATTTGAAGCCCATGTCACATCTGATAAGGGGGCTGGGTGCTGACATTTGTAGCCCATGTCACATCTGATAAGGGGGCTGGGTGGTGACATTTGTAGCCCATGTCACATCTGATAAGGGGGCTGGGTGCTGACATTTGTAGCCCATGTCACATCTGATAAGGGGGCTGGGTGGTGACATTTGTAGCCCATGTCAACATCAGATAAGGGGCTGGGTGGTGACATTTGTAGCCCATGTCACATCTGATAAGGGGGCTGGGTGCTGACATTTGTAGCCCATGTCACATCTGATAAGGGGGCTGGGTGGTGACATTTGTAGCCCATGTCACATCTGATAAGGGGGCTGGGTGCTGACATTTGTAGCCCATGTCACATCTGATAAGGGGGCTGGGTGGTGACATTTGTAGCCCATGTCACATCTGATAAGGGGGCTGGGTGCTGACATTTGTAGCCCATGTCACATCTGATAAGGGGGCTGGGTGGTGACATTTGTAGCTCATGTCAACATCAGATAAGGGGCTGGGTGGTGACATTTGTAGCCCATGTCACATCTGATAAGGGGGCTGGGTGCTGACATTTGTAGCCCATGTCACATCAGATAAGGGGCTGGGTGGTGACATTTGTAGCCCATGTCACATCTGATAAGGGGGCTGGGTGGTGACATTTGGACCCCATGTCACATCAGATAAGGGGCTGGGTGGTGACATTTGTAGCCCATGTCACATCTGATAAGGGGGCTGGGTGGTGACATTTGTAGCCCATGTCACATCAGATAAGGGGGCTGGGTGGTGACATTTGTACCCCATGTCACATCAGATAAGGGGGCTGGGTGGTGACATTTGGACCCCATGTCACATCAGATAAGGGGGCTGGGTGGTGACATTTTCTTCAGGCTTGGTGAAAATTTCTTGTTATGCTATTCTAGACTCGGACTGGGAAAATCACTAAGATAACTATTTGAGGCTAGACAAGTGAACTTGTCATGTTAATTTAGGCTAGACTCTAAGTGAAAAAATAAAACCCGTGAGAAAGTTCAGCTAGACATAGCAATGTGGGTGTGGCTTGGTGCAACAATCACGTGATGCTCCCCTAAATGCATGCGACACAGTGCTCACCCTGCCAGTCCAGCTCTGGCTCACGTGCTTCATGACGCACCCCCCTCCCTTCCCCCCCCCCCCTCCCCGCTTTACTTATTCATCTGCTATGTCAACACACATCTGTCAAGTCTATGGGACATCCGCCCTAACATTTTACTGGCGCATATCTTTATGGTCCCCTTGTCCCCTAGACTGCTACATACGTTCCCCCCCCCCCACACACACACATACCAGTCACACAGCTTAGACACGTCTTATAAGAAAATCGAAGATACCATTTGCGTCCCGTCTCCATAGAGACCAATCGCCTTGCCGCGGACACAGAAAATTTGTATAAATTTCTATATTCCCCCCTACACCATCCCTACATAACAACCGGCATGCAAGTATCCGAAGCAATTGTTTTCTACCCCTGTACTAGACTGGTAGACCCGGCACACACTCACCTACAATTAGCCGCCCGTGTAGGCCAGCACAATGGAATGTAACATTTCAACTCTTTCGCTCTCTGGACATGGAAGATTTTCTCCTGCTCTTCTTTGGAAAACTGTGTAAATAATTCTTCTCTTAGGGCATCCTTGAGTGTACAAGCCTCAGTGATGATGGAGTGTCAATCTTTTTTTTTTAATGTTGTGTGATGAACAGCTCAACCTTAACCAGCTGTGTTAATGTTGAACAGCTCTGTTAATGTTAACTGCGTTAACAAGCTGTATTAATGTTCACCATCTACGTGTTAACAAGCTGTATTAATGTTAACAATCTGTTAACCAGCTGTGCTAATGTTAACTATCTATGTATTAAACAGCAGTGTTAATGTTAACTATTCATATGTTAACTAGCTCTGTTGGTGTTAACTGTGTTAACCAGCTGTGTTAATGTTAACCATCTATATGTTAACAGCTGTGTTAATGTTAACTATCTGTTAATCAGTTGGGCTAATGTTAACTATGTATTAATCAGCTGTGTTAATGTTAACCATCTATATGTTAACAGCTGTGTTAATGTTAACTATCTGTTAATCAGCTGGGCTAATGTTAACTATGTATTAATCAGCTGTGTTAATGTTAACCATCTATATGTTAACAGCTGTGTTAATGTTAACTATCTGTTAATCAGCTGGGCTAATGTTAACTATGTATTAATCAGCTGTGTTAATGTTAACCATCTATATGTTAACAGCTGTGTTAATGTTAACCATCTATATGTTAACTAGCTGTGTGAATCAACTCAACAGTACCAATGCTTTGTGCTATGGCTTTAATCATGTTTAACATTCTGTAACCTCATGTAGACCAGGCTGAATCTGTTAAGTCATCATTTTATATCTACGCTTGTACTTTTTTCACAGCAAATTAATTTGTAAACATAAGGATTGCATTAATCATTCTATTACGTTGTTGATATTATCTCAAATATTTCATTTCCATTTCATACCTAGAATCTAGTTGTTTCATTCTAAAATGTTTTGTACTTCAATTACAATTTAATTTTTTTTTAAAACAAAACATAAATTCACATTTCATATTTATTTGTTTCATTATAAAATAATTTGTAGATCATTATATTTTAAATATTTAAAAAAAAACGTCAATTACTCATCTCCATAATGTAAACACTAAAGTAAAGTCATGCTATTGTTGATCGGCTTCAAACATCTAATCGTGTCACCAAGGGACAGTATCCGTGTGTGCTTCACACAGCACGGTGGCGATGATTGCTTCCCTTTGTTGGCTCAAGTTGTCTCGCCTGGTTACTCACACCTTCCTCTCTCACGTGCAGGTGGCTGTCACACCCTGGACTCACAGCGTGCTGTCAGTGTCACGTCTGCCGGGTCTGTGCCGTCTGCCATGAACATGAGTGCTGCCAGCAGTGACGTCATCTTCATGCAGTCGGGCGAGTCTCTGCTGAGTCTTGTGGAACTCAGGCGGCCCGCCAGGGATGTGCTGTCTGCTAAGTTGGCCAAGTTTAGACGGGTAAGTACGGGGCCAAGTTTAGACGGGTAAGTTGGTTCTGGGCCAAGTTTAGATGGGTAAGTTGGTACTGGAAAGTTGGCCAAGTTAAGATGGGTAAGTTGGTACTGGAAAGTTGGCCAAGTTAAGATGGGTAAGTTGGTGCTGGGCCATTTTGGCCATGTTTAGACGGGTAAGTACGGGGCCAAGTTTAAACGGGTAAGTTGGTGCTGGGCCATTTTGGCCATGTTTAGACGGGTAAGTACGGGGCCAAGTTTAAACGGGTAAGTTGGTGCTGGGCCATTTTGGCCATGTTTAGACGGGTAAGTACGGGGCCAAGTTTAAACGGGTAAGTTGGTGCTGGGCCATTTTGGCCATGTTTAGACGGGTAAGTACGGGGCCAAGTTTAAACGGGTAAGTTGGTGCTGGGCCATTTTGGCCATGTTTAGACGGGTAAGTACGGGGCCAAGTTTAAACGGGTAAGTTGGTGCTGGGCCATTTTGGCCATGTTTAGACGGGTAAGTACGGGGCCAAGTTTAAACGGGTAAGTTGGTGCTGGGCCATTTTGGCCATGTTTAGACGGGTAAGTACGGGGCCAAGTTTAAACGGGTAAGTTGGTGCTGGGCCATTTTGGCCATGTTTAGACGGGTAAGTACGGGGCCAAGTTTAAACGGGTAAGTTGGTGCTGGGCCATTTTGGCCATGTTTAGACGGGTAAGTACGGGGCCAAGTTTAAACGGGTAAGTTGGTGCTGGGCCAAGTTTAGACGGGTAAGTTGGTGCTGGGCCATTTTGGCCAAGTTTAGACGGGTAAGTACGGGGCCAAGTTGGCCAAGTTTAGACGGGTAAGTTGGTACTGGGCCATTTTGGCCAAGTTTAGACGGGTAAGTTGGTACTGGGCCATTTTGGCTAAGTTTAGACGGGTAAGTACGGGGCCAAGTTGGCCAAGTTTAGACGGGTAAGTTGGTACTGGGCCATTTTGGCCAAGTTTAGACGGGTAAGTACGGGGCCAAGTTGGCCAAGTTTAGACGGGTAAATTGGTACTGGGCCAAGTTTAGACGGGTAAGTTGGTTCTGGGCCAAGTTTAGACGGGTAAGTTGGTGCTCGGCCAACTTGGCCAAGTTTAGACGGGTAAGTTGCGATGGACAAAGACTATGGCAGCAAATCCAGAAAGAAAAGCAGGCTGAAGTGGATTCAACTATCTATATGCCGCATAACATGTTGGGTGACACGTAATACTTAATTGTGTAAATCTTTTCTGACATTACAATTAGTGGCGTTACAAGGTGGGGTGCGGTCTGCACCTGGTGAAACCGTTTAGGGAGGGGTGATACCACGACGAAAAATAAAAATAAAAACTTGCTGTCAAAACGTTTTATCCAGTCATAATAATAGTTGAGTGAAAGCGAGATGTCATTTTTTTTTAGGGGGAGGGGGGGTTGACACCCTCAGTTATCACAGCGGTGAGTTTCTAGTGGCTCACTTATTATAATTAAGAAGTTAATGAGATCTTTGATACTGACACATAAAACTTTTTTATTGCTATAAATTTCGACATGAAAGCGTGAACTCCCTTCTTTAAACTATTGGATTATTTCATTGTTACGTCCCCTTGCTGGCACACTTTTTTCATTTCCTGCTTCATAAGCTACTGTGTCGATTCCCCCACGGTGAGGGGGGGGGGGTATTTTACATTGCTGCCATTCCATCAAGCTTTTCAATAGTCATTGGTTGGTGGTTGTTTTCCAAAGTAAATTTTTTTTTAATTTGCCAGTGTTGTATAACATTACTACCACACGGCTTTTAGAATCCTAGGTCTGCTTTAGGCCTACACACTATATGTGCTAAAGTAAATACTAACTGACCCCTCCGTTTTACACACTATATGTGCTAGAGTAAATACAATCATAAAGCACTATCACGCCACTATACTAAATCATATCTGCATGTGTATGATAAGACCATATAAATATCCATAACAATAGGATTAACCTATAAATCCTGCTATTTGATTGGTTTTTTCCTAGTCTATTTTTAGACCTTTTATCTCATTCTATCCGTGTCGGTTCTCTACTGCTGAGACTGTAACCCGTCACAATTCAACCATTCCCGTCCCATAAGTGGCCTCCTATAGCTAATGTTAAAATAGTTTTCGCTCTTGTAATTGTACTGTTGCTTCCTGGTGGAGCATCAGCTTAAAACGTAGTAGAACTTTACATCCGAGTGTTAACTAGATTAAAAATAAAATGCCTGTCATGTTGATTAGCCAGGTCCATGTATTCGAATACATAGTATCGCCGATATAGATTTTTTAAGCCCATACTCGAGTCTCCCCAGTGTTCATTAGCTCTGGTTCTCTACAACTGTGTGTGGGTACGGCTAAACGGTATTGCCTTCACATCAGTTTCTGCTCAACATATGCGTGTGTACCGTTCTGTATGGAGGTCAACTGTCTCCTTGACCATTCATGTTTAGTTCCCTGTCATGTTCCCCGTAACCTGCGATGGTCCCAGTTGCCTTCTGTTGGTTCCCTGTCTATCACCAGCCATGCTTGGTTCCCTGTCTATGACCAGCCATGCTTAGTTCCCTGTCTATGACCAGCCATGCTTGGTTCCCTGTCTATGACCAGCCATGCTTGGTTCCCTGTCTATAACCAGCCATGCTTGGTTCCCTGTCTATAACCAGCCATGCTTGGTTCCCTGTCTATAACCAGTCATGCTTTGTTCCCTGTCTATAACCAGTCATGCTTGGTCCCCTGTCTATAATTACCAGCCAGGTTTGGTTCCCTGTCTATGACCAGTCATGCTTGGTCCCCTGTCTATGACCAGTCATGCTTGGTTCCCTGTCTATCACCACCCATGCTTGGTTCCCTGTCTATAATTACCAGCCAGGTTTGGTTCCCTGTCTATGACCAGTCATGCTTGGTTCCCTGTCTATAATTACCAGCCATGCTTGGTTCCCTGTCTATAATGACCAGCCATGCTTGGTTCCCTGTCTATAATAACCAGTCATGCTTGGTCCCCTGTCTATAATTACTAGTCATGCTTGGTCCCCTGTCTATAATTACCAGCCATGTTTAGTTCCCTGTCATGTTCCCCGTAACCTGCGATGGTCCCAGTTGCCTTCTGTTGGTTCCCTGTCTATCACCAGCCATGCTTGGTTCCCTGTCTATGACCAGCCATGCTTAGTTCCCTGTCTATGACCAGCCATGCTTGGTTCCCTGTCTATGACTAGCCATGCTTGGTTCCCTGTCTATAACCAGCCATGCTTGGTTCCCTGTCTATAACCAGTCATGCTTTGTTCCCTGTCTATAACCAGTCATGCTTGGTCCCCTGTCTATAACCAGTCATGCTTGGTCCCCTGTCTATAACCAGTCATGCTTGGTCCCCTGTCTATAACCAGTCATGCTTGGTCCCCTGTCTATAACCAGCCATGCTTGGTTCCTACCGTAAATCAGCCATGCTTGGTTCCTACCGTAAATCAGCCATGCTTGGTTCCTACCGTAAATCAGCCATGCTTGGTTCCTACCGTAAACCAGCCATGCTTGGTTCCTACCGTCAATCAGCCATGCTTGGTTCCTACCGTAAATCACCCATGCTTGGTTCCTACCGTAAATCACCCATGCTTGGTTCCTACCGTAAATCACCCATGTTTGGTTCCTACCGTAAATCACCCATGTTTGGTTCCTACCGTAAATCACCCATGCGTGGTTCTAGGATAACGGCGACAGCCAACTGTTGGGAATGTTGTTACCTGTCCACTGGTGCGTGACTAGATGCAGGAAATATGTCCTGCACCTCGTAATGTGCACACCAGACATGGCACACTAGCTGGTCACAACATGGCGACACGGCTACGTCGTTCTTCCTCATTCCAGGTAAATTTATTTCAATCGTCTTTAGTGTAGAGTAAGGTTTGGTTCTACCATTCCAGGTAAACACACATCTTTCAATCGTCTTTAGTGTACAGTAAGGTTTGGTTCTATCATTAAACATCTTTCACTCGTCTTTAGTGTAGAGTAAGGTTTTGGTCTGATGAGTGCTACTATGTAAACATCGGTTGTGTTTTCTAGTTGACTTTGTTTCATGAGTTTTGCTACTGGTATAGTTGTTACATTCCTCTTTAGTTTGGACTGTTTGGTTTAGATCTGCATGCTGTGAATGTGATATTGGCGGTATTGTAATGTGGTCTTGTCTGATGTGAGCGGCCATCCAACAAAACTACTTATTGTGACTGCCATCCAACAAAACTACATATTGTGACGGCCATCCAACAAAACTACTTATTGTGACGGCCATCCAACAAAACTACTTGTCTTGACTGCCATCCAACAAAACTACTTGTCTTGACTGCCATCCAACAAAACTACTTATTGTGACGGCCATCCAACAAAACTACATATTGTGACGGCCATCCAACAAAACTACATATTGTGACGGCCATCCAACAAAACTACTTATTGTGACGGCCATCCAACAAAACTACTTATTGTGACGGCCATCCAACAAAACTACTTATTGTGACGGCCATCCAACAAAACTACTTATTGTGACGGCCATCCAACAAAACTGCCCGTATGTTTGTACTGTATACTTGTCGTGATGGCCACCCAACACAATGTTTCCACTAGTGACGGCCATCCAAGACCATCCAACAGCCCGTATGTTTGTACACTCTCCTATAGAGTGAGCGGTGGTCAAGGTGTGCCGCGAGCTGACCTTTGCTCTGACCTTGGGCCAATGTCCTACACTGCTGGCTCGCGCGAGTCACAGAAATAGAATCCTGGGACAGTAGCTCCGTTGATTGTGGACGTGCTTGACCCTGTAGTTGAGTACCCCATTGATTCTCCTTGTCACCTCACAAGGATGGGCCACTTGTTGACTCACGTCCTAACGGCGCAACTGTCGCTCGCACGCGCAGTTGATGAAAATAGACTGGTCCCCCGGGACGTAGGATGTCTTTCAGTTGGTGGGCATCTGCTCATCCAATGTTATCAACCGTTGGCCTAGTCTAACGTTGGCTCAGT